ATCCCAAAATTGGTTGATCCAAAAACTATCCTTATTTTTTTTTTTTTTCTACTAACAGCGCTCTAGTGTGGCAGCGGACCTATCCGCTTAAACGGTGGAACCACTGGCCTCTGAAGACGACGATTGAGTCGAAACGTTAGGCCTTTAAATAAATGTTCCACCTAACAACCTCGTAAGGCACAAGAATATTGAAACACTCACTACTAACATGCCGAGGTTGCAAGAAGAGAGAAGCTGGAGAATACTATCCTTCTTTATTCACTAAGATCGTCTATCTATCCTGTTTTAGGTCGGCTACAAATATACGGTGTCGACGGCCTGATTCGAGTGTTCGTTCAGAGAAGATTCGAAGACAGAAACGTTCACGTCATAACGGTCTCTGAACATTTCTTACTTGTTCCATTACTGCTAGTGAAAACAATGCAAAAAAACATCAAGTATAACTGTAGTAGTGCTCGATATACATGAAAAAATTCTGCAGATGTATGCTGTAGAAGGGCGCAGTCGGGGAGAGGGGAGGCATTTTGCACTTTCGTTGCTTCACTAGTTCTGGTTTACAAGTCTCACTCTGGTGAAACCTGTGACTTGTTGAGAAGCTGGAGAAAGCTTGTCAACGCTCAAAGCTGTCAACTCAAAAAAAGTAACTCTAGATGGTAGACACATTGATCAAGAATGCAAAATGTCTCCCCCTACCGTCGCCGAACTGCCCCCTACAGAAGTTTTACTAAGACTCGGAAAAACCAAGACTTTAAATATTCTGAATTCAAAAAATTTTTGGTCTAGTTCGGCGACCGAAGGAGGAAGGGGGGGGGCACCTTGCATTCTTGCTGTTTCAGCAATTTCGGTTTATAAATGTCACATTGGTGAAACCTGTGGACTCTTGTGAAGCTGGAGCGAGCTCGTCTAACCACCACCTGTAAATGGTATTTGCATGGTATTTCCTTGCTTTACAAGTGTCCACTACTAGATACTTCAAGAGTTGACAGGTGGTCCTACAAATTTTGGCTGATATCGTTTCCTGGCTTCCCAAGATTTCGCAGGTCTCCACTCGGGGGGCTCGAAACGTGGATGGGAAGTAGCGAATAGTGCAAATGCCCCCCCCCCTTTCGCACCACGTCGCTGAACTGCGCCAACGTTTTTGATACGTCAAAGGAAGTTAATGTCAACCTAACAAAGACATTTTAGCTTTGTCCGCCGAGACTTTTCCTGGAGAAAAAGAAATTCTATCGAGGAGCGCCCTCGACAAACGCATATCTCTCTTACTACAGACAATACATTACGGGTGTTCTCAAAATGTTAGGTGAGTGGATCATTTCCATCGTGAACGGGGGAGGGCAGAAAATAGACACTCTGCTCATGGTGCAGGCCATCATAATTGATGTGGCAGAGGAAGATAACATGGATGGAAGGCTCAGGATAAATTATTCGGCAGGTCGCTCAAGTTGGACCACCCATAAACGTCGCGATCTTGTGAGGGCTGGCTTTAATGTGATCTTGTAGCCGGGAGACAGACAAGAGAATTCATGTATACTAAGACATCGTAGACACTTACGGCTGTTTTTGGACATGCATTGTCTATTCTCGAGCAATACGACCTAGAATCGTTTTCATTGGCAAGCACGACGGCGCACGCAACGCCCACTGACGCGGCGAATTACGATTCTCTTGCCTTATACCCTGGAAAGTTAAAAGACGAGTTCCGCGATATTTCCCCATATGTAGAACGTGGACATTATTAAAGGCACATTCCGCGATAAAATAAGGCTATGACCTCTCAAATGTGTCGGACGATCCGGAAGGCGATTTTTGAGGCTGCGCTACTTTCAAAATGTGAAAAACGGCAAGAACTCCGCTAGAAGCTGACTAATTAGGCCCATGGACACCCCTTAGGCCCATGCCGACCCTCACCGGCTGCTAGCTACTAGCTAGTAGCCACTATGTTATCTTTCTCTATAACATTTCGGACTGCTTTTTCTGCTGCTTTTCTCCGTATCAGTCTCTACTCCTAGCCCAATTTTCTGTTGCCTATTTGAGTTCGCACTTCCCGCAATTTGCCAGTACCGCGAACTGTGCGCTTTAAGTGTGAAATGACTTCGCAGGGTGGGATTTACAACGATTTTTCATATTCGAGGCCCGGCGCGAAACAGAGCAATAGAGCGAAACCTGCGTCGGATACAATCGTGTTTCACATTTTGTGTGATATAATTATTCCACGGAATTTCTCTTTGAGCAGGAAGAATTCTTTCGGATGGGTAACTCTGTCTAACTAACGGTAACTCTGTCGGGAGTGTTGCTCTGACAGTGGCGGGCACTAGCCACTAGTCCGGATTTTTGGACCTGATCCACGATTCATTTTTCATGACCCGAACCTGACCTCCAGTTCCATCGTCAAGCACCTTGGGCCGGCTCAACGGATGCCGAAGATATAATAGTTGAGGAGTGTCACCTAGATGAATGCCCAGAACATCCATTTACCCTGTTATCCTGTGTGAAGTATACTCTAGTTCGTTGCGGACGGTTGGGCGAGGAGTCACGCCGTCAAAGCCGTTCTCTGCCTTCTTGTTGAAGCGCGCATGCGACAAAAAGTGGTAGAAAACGAGTAATACGAACGATATGATACAGTCATATCACTTGCTCGCTTAACAACTGGTGGAGAACGGGTTTGGCACCGCGCCAAACTCATCCCACCTGACACGCCCAACCATCCGCAGCGAACTACACTATAAGTCGTAGGATTACACTCCACAAGTAAAGTGTCTTCCCACTATATTCTGAGTTTACTAGCTCGAATTCTCATTACGCATCACAGGTGCTGACATGGACGACGATGCAACAGGTATCGAATACCAAGTGAACGACATAATTGATCTGGAAAGACGAATAGCTAATGTGAGTTCCATTGTAAGCTTTATGATGCTGTTGCCGTCCCGATTTCGGGTCAGGGCAGAAGGAAACGTGCTGAGGCCGCGTTCATATCGCGCACTGTCCGAGAATTGGATAATCTGCAAAAAGAAACGAACGCTAATCCAACGATTATAACACCTCATCCCCATCCCAAAGGTCGAGTAGGTAACTCTCGATAAGTAAGAATCAGTAAAGCTGGGACTGTGACCCATAAGGGCGTTAGGAAGAATTTCTATAAATACGACCAACCGAGGCACATTGTTGTTGGGGATTCCCCAACCGGGCGTCGTCTTTGGTCGCTGGGAGAGGGGAGGAGGTCGTATTCGGGCTGAGAAACTCATTTTGATGATTTTTCTTGTTTCAGGGACGTTGTAAAGGGGGGGGGAGCGTGTTTCCCGTCTGACCCTCTGAGGTTTTTTTTATGGTGTTCCCCGTTTCACATGTGCTGTTACCTCCCCCCCCCCACCACTCGACAGCTTGATGAGGAGGGGTCGTACGGACTCGAACAAAATGCCCAACTACTGATATGCCCTGCGACCGACCCCTTCAGCCTTTCCCCTTCTGCGACCCCCCCTCTCACATCCTCCCTCCCACCCTTTCTCCCAAATTTTGCCATCCAGCGAAGAGAGAAGGGGGGGGGGAATGGAGGGTGGGAACCTGCTATCAACGGTAAGAATTGAAGGCCTTTATACCACTCTCATTGCTGCTGTTTATAGAATCATCAACATCAATATCAATCAATTATCAATCATTTCAGCTGTCAACATATGACGGTATCCGCAACCATTCCGTTCTTGATAATTTGATGACCTACAGAGAACTGAGGGAGCGTTATCCCGAGGTTAGCAGTACGAATATTTCAACAAAGTTAATCAACCGTGAATGGTGTTTCAGATCCACTTTAACCTGTTTTTCAATGAGGAACTTCTTTCATCTCTTGGACCTATCGACGACAATACGACAATAAACTTGTTTGATGTGGGCTACTTCGCAGGCTTATCAGCGCTAGTAAAGTCGAAACCTCTGAGGTAAGCATAGATACCCTATCAACCCGAAATACGGGGATATCAGTTTACCGGATACCACTACTGCGCGGATGGTCAAATTTGTGGTAATGACCACCGACAGGAATTTGTGCTGACCGCTAACACTGCCTGATTTCCATGCCTCGGAATACGACCCATTTCATCATGTTTCTTCTTTTAAATAAACGCCAATGTCTGATGCTCACTACATTTATAAAAATCACCCACTATTCGTAGGAAAGGATGATTTAGCGGTTGAAAGAATTTCGGTGGTAACAATATTGAATTTTAGCGAAAGCTCCCATCCTAGCACTCCCGTTGAGCAGCTTTTTCACGTGCCCGT